AGGTGACTAGTCATTCTGTAGGGCCTGGTCTGGGGCCAGTTTTCATTTTCGTCTTGTTCTCTTTCTGTTTTTCTTTCTCTCTTGCTTTTGTTATTTATACCAATGAGCAAATGTTGCTTATTTTTAGCAGCCTTTCCATTTTACTCGGGCACTGATCCTAAGTAATGGAATGCCTGTGGGCCCTCCCTAAGGCACCATCCCACCTCTAATAAGAACAGACAAATGCAACCTTTGGTGTAAGGAGTTATTGATTTGCTTCTAGGCAAGTAGGTGTGTGCGATAGATGCAAGAAGTGCCCATGCATACCATATATTAGGACTCCAACCTCTTAGCAAATGACCTTGCATGATTTGCCTTGGGCTGTTGGCGAGAAATTACTTCTTTATGTGTATAGCTGCATAAAGCAAGCAGCCTTGCAACTTGTTCTAGAGCATATAAAACCAACACTAAAAACGCAAACACACCCAAATATACACACCCATTTCCACAAACAGAGCAAAAGCAAAGTCCTCCCTCGAGCAAAGACAGTCTCAGTTCTGGGAGGAGCAAAGTAGATGGACCAATTAATGGAAGCAGACGTAAGAGTTACATAGATAGGAACACATGATGCAAGTGCTATTTTTTGCCTTTTCTCTTCTAACTATGTGTTACTGCAGAGATGCTAAAACAAGCCACAACAGAGTCCTGAGGGAAGCAGTCATGGGAGGAGTTTCAGTGAGGTGTTGACGTCAAGGGAGCCCCTACCTCACAGATTAGCAGCTGACCAGCAGCATCTTCCACTGAGTGTCCTAAAAACTTTGTCTACTTTCCTACTTCAGGAGACAAGTGTATGACCTTAGACAATGCCCCTCTTCTAAACCTCTTTAGGCTGGAAATAAAATGTAAGGGAGGGTGTATACAACCTGAGACAACAAAGTTTATCCTTTCCTATCCTTATTCAAAGCCTATCAAAAAGAACTTCAGAACCAAGCAGGAGTAGCTACATACTTAAACTGTAAGGTAGGAGATGCAAACTTTTATGTCTTGCCCTGAGGTACGAGGGATTTTCTGGGCAAACAAGTGCCTTTGGTCACTGCTGCCTCCTTTGCATCAACAGAGCTTCACTGCTGGTGAGGTGTTTTCTGGCTTACTCCTATTGCAGTTTTGGCTGAAAGGAAAGCAAGTGAGAAGGTTGTCCCACTCCCTTAGGGTCATTGGGATCCCACCCAGCCTTCTGGCATAGCTACACAACTGCTTGGTTCTCTCAGTAGCGTCTGACTTAGTTTAAACATTTTGTATAGGTTTTTGTCTTCCCCATTTTCAGGCCTGACTCATTTGATAGGGCTTACTATTTGCATGCTCATGCTCTGCTTATGCTGGCAGAGGAAATGAATTTGCTGCTGATGTAGGAAGACAGGAGACTGGGGGACTTACCCAGGTGCAGTCAGAACAGCTGATGGCCCAGTGCTTAATTTGCTAGTGCCATGTCTGCCCAAGCCTTCTCATTTTTGCCGCTGCTAGAGGATTACCATTGACTGAAATGGAAACATATTGGAGACATGAGGAGTAGAAGAAAACCTTGTTTAGGAAAGAAAATTAGGCTTCCTTTGAGGGGGACCCAAATACGTTTTCTACCACAGATTGTCATAATCCTTCCCCCTTTTCCCTGCTCCCACTGCTGCTGTTTTTTTTTTCTTACCGTGGTGGATCTCCGTGATGAAGTAAGTCTTCTCTGTGCCAACTCTGTCTTGTTACTGTCATTCAAGATCCAGCCCTTATTAACTATCTACAACCTGGTAGAAGGGGGTAAAGTGTCTATTCTGAAGCTGCTCTTTTAAATTCAGCCCTATTTGTATACTATGATCTGCATGCCTCTCTGCCCCCAAATTACTAAAATTGCAGCACAGTTGTCCAAGGCTTATTTTTTAGTAAATGACTCTTATAACTGGCATTCAGATTAACTACCATCATAGTCTGAAATGCAGCAAGACATTTAACATGTGTGGGATATGATACCCATCTCAAATAAATACAACACTGCGTCAGTAGATGTTTTCATATTCTCAGGTAAGCAGGCTGGTCTTGGGGAAAAAGGTTAGTCTATTAACACCTCAGCTCTCAAAGCAAGCCAACTTCCTTTCTACATGGAGTAATTATTTTTTTCACATAAGCCCTATAGTGCCTCTGCTCTGTTTGCACTTGTACGTCTCAAACATCCCAGTACAGATCACCCTTTATGAGTGGAATCTGAGATCATGTGTCTGCATTTGAAATTCACTGTGCGCGGGCTATCATTCACTGGCTTGTGAATTCTGTAGGTGTAGGGGCTATGGGCCTGTATTGCAGGTGTGAAGAATACAGGGCCTTTTTTAGCACTTAAAGCACCCATGTGTGCAGCTCACAGCTACAAGTACTTTTGGCAAAGCTTTACAAATTCTGTTGATTCATAGCTGGCATCTCACCACCTATATGGACAGGATTACATATAAATATATATGTCCTGTACATAACAGGACTATTTAGAGCATCCCTATAGCATAAAGGCAAAGTGAACTTTGCCTTTATTTAGAGCATCCCTATAGCATAAAGGCAAAGTGAACTTGGGCACAAAAGTCATTATACCTCTGTGGAAGACTTGCTGGGGAGAATATTGAAAGGCCTTTTCTCTGCCATAGCCTAGGGCTCATAAGTGATTTTAGGTGGCTGGTGATCCATGCTTCTGTTTATGCAGTTCCAGCAAGGATTAAGGATTTTTAACCAAAGACAGAAATAGGTGATGGTGGGAGAAGTGATTGTTACCAGCATGCCAAGGAAATCTCAGAGATAGGAAAGATTCCATCCTGGATCATGAATCCTGAGGCTTTTATGGATAAAATGTTGCAGCTGGAGTTGGAGAGAGTGCAATGACACACAAACCTTTGGTTTAATCATCTTCTAAAGTCATGCCCAGTGTTGGCTTACAGGAGATGAAAAAAGCTAATGAACCCTGAGGAGGACTGATCTGCAGCTGTCCTCAACAGCTTTCTTGAAGGAGATCCTTTTTTTTCATTGCATATATAACTGCTGCATGTTGCTGTTTTGAGCAGCTGTTTCTTGGCTACTCCAATATGCTCATTGCTGGAACTATCTCTTAAAAGTCTTGCCAGCACCTGAAAAAATATTATTATTTAAGATGGCATTAACATCTAGGTTCCAGCCCAATTTTGTGCCGGGCATAAAATAGTTGAAATATGAGAGGCTGTCTGTGCCCTAGAAAGCTTATTTTCTATCTGCAGACACTGAAGTTTGAAAGAGGAAATGGGTAAAGGTGATCTAGATTTTTTTCATCCAATATGAGCGGGCTAAACCAGTCAATGAAATTCTTAACAGGTGTGAGATTGCCAGATTGCTCCAATCTTACTGCAGAAAATTTGACGGGGGGGAAAAAAAACCCAACCAACCCCCCAAAAATTGTGACAACCCACACTCAGTAGCAGGGCTAGGAGAAGGACCTCAGGAATGAAGGGTAAGACTGAATTTCAGCTTCTCTTGCTGTCTTTGCCACTAAATTCTTGTGTACCTGTATAAAAACCTGTTCACGACTCTGCTAGATACGGAATTTACACCTTGCACTACTGTATGCTAGAATGTGTTAATCTTGCACCAATAGCACAATTTACGAGGGACATGCCCAAGTGAACTAGAGTGACTGTAACTATGCTGGTGCAAGAAGTCCCCATGTAAGGTGAATTCTTAGCTTGCAAAGTATGGATCTGTAAAAGCAGAGTAGCATGACAATCCAAAGGGGAAAAAAACCCAACAACCAACCCAAAACAAAAAACCCAAAGGAGAATGTGTTGATGGAATAGCTGTAGTGGTACAGCACTGCAAAAAGCAAATGGCTGTGCTGTAAAGAGGAAGGCAAGCCTCTAACTTCTGAAATGTAAAAAAAGAACACCAAAACACCAGTCTGAAAGGTGTCTTTGCTCAGCAGATTAGATTTTTTTTAAATTTTATTTCTACCCCCCAGCATATTTCCAGCTTTTTAAAATCAGAAAAGTTTACTGTGGGGAAGCTATTAATGAAGCACAGTGGAATGGTGACAGGAGGGGTAAGTGCGTATATATTCAGGAATTGAAGATGTACATTCACAAAGAAAAAAGTGCACTACCATCTGTTAACTTAAATATGATAACTAGCTGAAGGTAAGAGTTTAAGGCTGTTCTCTTTGCTAACAAGCCCATATAGGGCAACTGGGAGAGCCCAGGGGTGAAAATTGCAAGCTGTCTAAACGCAATGCTCAATACTATAGCTATGCATTTGAACTGCTGGAAGTAAGGTGCCTTTTTGTCCTAGCAAGGATGAAGCGTTAAATGAGACGTTTTGCAAATGTTTAAATATATGCTTTTGTTAATATGTTATTGCCTAGTTAATATTTTGAGTAAAATTAGTCATTGTGAAAGCTTAAAAATTAACTCTTTGCAGCTGATCATTTAATCATAACTAAAGGCAGTGAAGGAAACCTGAAACATCGGGTATTTTCTGCAGTAAAACTGAGGAGGGTATCTGCTGAAATTCTCTAATGTTTTAATGCAAGAACCAGAGGCAGGGGATTTATTTCAAGGAATTGCTTTTGGAAAAATATCCCTGCTAGTAATTTCTTTTTTATTTATGGAATACCCAAAAGAGGGTAAAACTTTAGGAAGGAAAAAAAAAAAAGAATTGAATCTCACTGCTAAAGGCGTTAATACAACGCTAACGAGCCATAGCCTTCCCAGTGCGTAGCTGGCAACATGACCACCCATCTGTGCCGAGTGGGATGTGCAAGCAGAAGTCAGGGCTGAAAACCCTCCACCTGTTTTGGGAAAGTAAGTGCGCACACACTGAAGTTACTCAGCGTATTTGTTCCGTCTTCGGCGCTTGGGGTGATGTTGTTACTACTACTTTTCTGCTGTCTCATATCTCCCACCACCATGTGCCAGCTGATAGGGGAGCTGTGACATACCACACCCCCGTGGCTGGGAAGGGGGTCACATGGACCCGTCTCATCCAGAGCACTTTAAAGAAACTGATAAGCTCTATCTCGTTTAACTTGGCCTTTGGAAGACACTTGTGGAAATTTCTGCAAAGGAGGTGACATCAGTTGTTGTCACAGCTGCTGTGTAAGTCTGCAAGACTGCGTCTGTTCAGTATCTGGCCTGGGTGTGTATGTGTCTGCAAGCAGATATTGTTAATAGATTTTATTTAAATCAAAAACAGTTCATATGACACTGGCAAGGAGGATCGATCGCTCAGAATAGGTGCATTATCGTCAAGATTTGAGGCAGCGATGGAGTACCTAAACTTAATAAAGCAGAAAGATGCCCAGCTTTGGAGGGCTGATGTTACATTTGAAACAAACCTTCTCCTGGGGGAATTCCAAGTGTTAGCATGTGGGACATACTCCAGCTGCTAGCTGCTTGCACTTAAAATAAACCAGGCAAAATCTCATATTGAGGCTCTATCAGGAGAGGCAAGCTGCTATTGCAAACTTTTCATCTCCCTTTTTCTTCCCATTGGGTCAGAATGGCAATATTTTTAAAAGAGCATTTAAACCTTAGCATTTCACACAGCTTTCCTTGTGCTTCTCTCAAGTGATGTGTTTCTCAACATAGTTATAAATTTAGCAAAGAATCTGATTTGTACAGGTTGAAGCACTGTCCCAGGAAGGCTGGAATTAAAAAAGGGTTGGAAGGAATATTTCTACCTTATGTGACAATGACATTACTACTGATACCACTGCTTTTCTAGTCTAGGTATTTCTGAAATTGCAGCATGACTTCATTAAGAAAGGACTATTCTTCTTATTAAGTTGAACTGGGGAGACCCTTTTCCTTAAAGAGAAACACATGTGACTTTAGGGTGGTTTGCCTTTTGCTTTTTTTTGCCTTAACATATTGAAGAGGAAATAATTTAATGTGTCTGTGGAAGGTACCATAGCAGAATTTCAGGAAGACAGACAGCTGGGAGATGCATGGTTGTTTGACAACTAGAATATAATTGACTTTGAGGAGGTCTGAAAATAGAATACGGTACTCTTTGCTTTGTCTTGTGGTTTGAAATTGACTTCAGGTTTTTGGGTTTTGTTTTAAATTTTATTTTAATAACTCTCTGACTATTATTCATTTCTAAGGTACTGAGATACTTGGGAGGGGTGGGAAACAAGCAACTTAATGCAATCTATGCAAATAATGTCTAAATTTCTTTCTTTAAACTTTATCCTATATGAAACTTCATTCAAGACTTCTCAGTTTTTCTGTGATGAAACCTGTTGAGCTACATAGTACACAAGGTTTAGGAATTTAATGCTCTTATTACTGTCAAAGCACAGATAGCAAGCTATACTAGTCAGCTTGAGAAGTGTACAAGTGACTGCCACAACCTACCTTCCTCCTTCTTTTCGTCTTCCTTTAGACACAGATACATAAATCCTTGTTCAAACCAACAGGCTTATCCAGAATATATTTATAAGGGTGAACTCTGCCAGGCGATGGTTAATCATATACAGTGCTAGAGATATCTTTTGAAGGTATCTTGAACACTGTGACAGAAGTATTTGTCACTCAAACTATTTATAATTCTAAGAGTTTGGAGGGCAGACAATTTTTTTTGTTTTTGTTTTTTTTTTTTTTAATATGAAATGGAAGCTCTTCCTTTGTACCAAAGAAATGGGATATGTCTGTATGGATACGTCAGGCAGATCTGGAGTGTGCTGTTTTTGGGAAATGCCATGTTTGCACCCTGGACGCTCTGCCGCTCACCCGCTCAGCCTTTCTGTCTCACAGATGACTTTGTAGCTCGGTGGCAGTCAGCCCATTTTCTGCTGGACCTCTCACTTCTGTGGACTGTTGGAAGAGGTCAGTGCAGGGTAATTCAAGAAATGTGAATTTGTCCACGTAGCACCTTCATTAGAAATGTTTTAAGGGCTTCCAGATTGAATAAAACTATGAGCCTTGGCTCTAATGTTCACCACAATGTTACATATCTATCTATCTATGTATCGCGGGGGGGGTAGACTGGGGAGGGATAGCATGCAAAACTCAGGCCAATCAACCTTTGAGAAATAAGACTGATAACCACCTCAAGCAATTAGTTTTGAGGACTTTTGACAAAGTTTAATGCAGGTCACCCTTCCCTATTATTCCTTGTTATGTATCTTGAATTATTCTTAACTCTGTGTTTTCGGGAATTGCAGGCAATGTATAGACATAACGCCTTCAGCAGGCACGCAAGGAATGTTATGAGGGTAGCAAGCTTCCCGTTTCCCTGGTCACTCAGAAGATTTATGTGCCAGTATAATGAGAATGAATGACGAGCTGTTGTTCATCGACAGAGACCTTATGGGTCTGCCTATAAGCAAGAGGTTTTGGAAGCTGATAACCTTTGTGCTTCAGGTTTTGTTTTGAATAGATAGAAGAGGAGAAAATAGTTATTGATAAATGTAAAACTGCTCAGACAAACTGAAGGGTATTAGCCAAGCTCTGGCAGTAAATCTGAAAATCGGAGCTATTTATACAGTTGGAAAAGGAGCTGGGGTATTTTCATTATTTTGGCACAGAGTATTGGCTTTTAAAGAGTCAGGAGATGTGCCTGCCTAGAATTTCAGTCTCCTATTTTTTAGGTCTCTGTGAGATGATGTGATGTATCGCAGCTTTGGTCTGAGCGCTGGCCAAGTATAAATGGAGGGGCAGATTTTGAACTCTGAAACTAGAGAAGTCTCTAGGTCACTCTAAACTTGCCTGGAGACAAGCATGTTAAAGTATTTTTTTTTGCCGTTCAAGAGCATGATAAAACGTCCATAGACAGAACCACTATTACTACTATATAAGTTATTCACTTCAACACCTTTCTCATATCATATCAAGTTAATGACCATTTTGTGCGTCTGGTATACATCCAGAACCCCTGTTGTAAAGTCAAGGTTGCATGAGATATCCCAGTTTGCATTAGTAAATGCTATAGCACACTATATTATTTTGACAAGTATCGTAAAGATATACAAACAGAAACCATGCTTTTAAGATTTTTTTTTTTTTTCCTAAAGGATATGAAGTGAAGATTAAATACTGAACTTTGATTTTAAGATATATTATACCCCCCTCCCCCCAAAACATCCATATCCAAAATAGTAAATTCTTGGGAGCCTAAAAGCTAAGAGTCTGAATTTTTTTGCTTTTTATTCACGTAAAATGTAGCCATCTTTAACAGAAGCCTAAGTATTTTATCTACTGGAACAACATTAATTCACAAGAAACCTCTGTCTTCTGTGGTATTTATAATTTCATAATATTTGCTTTCTTAAATTTTGCTTGTCTCAAATATTCCAGCAGCTCCACGTCATAAGCTCTTGAGGCTGATTTAAAATTTCACCGTGCTTTTTTTTTTTTTTTGCAGTGTGATAAAGAACTTGAGCCAGGACTTAAGGTCCTAGGTCCTATTCATAAGTTACCCATGTGCAAAAACAGCTTTCTTCAATGTATGGGAAAGAACTGGGTACTCTTATGTATGTGCCTGGAAGTTAACTGGAAATCGCTGTGATCTGTTCTTAAAAAATAAGAACCAAAGGAAAAAAAAAATAACCACCCCTGGAATGACAATGAAACCCGTGCATTTTCTTTTTAAAAGGCATTAACTTAGTGTTTTTATGCGTACCTATGATATGGTGGTTGGAATGGCATTTGGAAGCACTCCTTAACAATAGTGGCCGTCCTCGTATCTGTGCTGGCTGTAGGGGAGACAGGCTGTTATTTACCCCTGTCCTGTTGTATAGCAACCTGGGAAGGTTAGAGGAATAACTGCGTGCGTTGCTTAGCATTGGCAGCCAGGCTGGATGGCAGCAAGTGGTGGGGAGAGCCTTAGGTACCCCACGCAGAGCTGCGGGCAGTGATGCTGCTGAGCTGGGGCTCTGATGGAGAGAGGAGGCAGCAGGACTTGCCAGAACAGACCCTTTCTCCCACGTGGTGCAACCAGGGGAGAAGGAAGGGGATAAAACTGCTCTCCTTGGAGCTGCATCTTTTCTAGGTGTGGGCCTGTGCTTAGATGATTTCATTCAGCCCTGAACATGTAATGGAAAATCTTGCATGATTACAACTTAATATACCATAGTCTGTATTTATGGCTGAGTTGGCTTGAGTTAACAGTGCCTTTAGAGATACACTGCTTGCAAAACATGCACCACTAGCCAAAGCATGCCTTTTATCAAGATGGGTTAGGAATATCCAGTGCTTCCCTACAGGCATGTCGCTACCTGTAGCTGAATTTAATAATACTAGATTATTGTAGTGTGGTTTATACTGGCTTTTTTCTTCAGTCTTTTGAATCTATTTATTTACTTAATTTTCCTACCATCAAGAAAAAAAACTCAACTATGAATACTTGCAAAAGCAGGGTCAGATACTGAGACTGGACTGAAAGAAGATATTTAGGTTGTTAGGATGATGTTCAAAAGAGCCTATGGGCTCAGTTATGCTACACAGCCAAGTACACTATAGAGATCCCTGAGCTAATGCCACGATCGGAAACTCTGTTAGTGGTGTTGTGTTCTCCCTGGGCTAATTAACAGGGGTGCCTCTCAGCATACCTAATTAGATCCATTTCTGCAGCATCCTCAGGGGCAGGGCTAATTAGCGTGCATGCTTTGCTATACAGACACAGCTATATTGCCTCTGGGATGTAGGCTAGCCTCTGTGCATGGCATTGCAACCTACCATGTAGACAAGCCAGTTTCCTCAAAGCTACCTCAGGATCTCTAACAGCCTTTTGCTGTGTAGACTTGCCCGCTGCGTTAATGAGACCCCAAAAGCTTATGCAGGGAGAAGGATAGCAACTCGGGATGTGGGCCAGAGGGTAACATTTTGGGAGACAGATGTTTTAGGGTGAGTCCCGGATTCATTTGCTTTTTACTTTACCTCTGCATCTACTTGTTATCTTTGGATTAAAGAAGGTATTAAAAATAAGCAAAAAAAAAAAAAGCCTAAATTGAGGTGTACGAAGTCTGAAGCTGCTACCTTGCAGCTTGCTGGTTTTTGTTTTTAGGTTCTCAGCTAAACTTAGAGCTACTAAAAGATAGTAATGAACTAATAAACAAGCATTTTTAAAGCAGATTTCCCTATTGCTGTGGTCA